ATGAAAGAACTGTTTTCTTTTTATTTGTTTCATGGAAAAGTATAGAAAATGGAGGGCAGTTATTCATTTTTCATTTCCATTCTAAATGAAATAAATAAAAAGGGATGAGGAGCAAAGACAAACATTCTTTCCAAAATTCACATTGGATCCTATGGTATCTCTTTATGAGAGCTATCATGAATACCTCAGCCTGCTGGATTACTTGTGCAAGCCAGCTGTATTTAATAAACGAACAAAATCAGCTGTTCCACCACACGATCTATACTTGAAGCCCATGTCCTCCAGAAAACAATCAAAATCCAATCAGTTCAAGATTAAAGTCATTAATAAATGTAAGAATTGTCTTTGGATGAATATCTTCAATAAAATGTCAGTTTCCTTTAAAAAAAAAGCTAAGCAAATCTCCTTATGCAGTCCAAAAAAGACCACTGCAGCATAGAGAAATAACCCAACAGGATTGTGACAGCCCTGCCACCCTAATGACCCACCTGTTTGCAGTGCAGCTCATTGCACCGTCTGACGTTTTTTGTTATTGTCGATTTTTTTATGCTCTAATCAGACAGGTTTGTTTCAGTTTGATCAGTACAAAGATGACTGTTTATGCCTGATAAACAAATGCTAAACCTCATATTTTTTTCCCTAATTGCAGGCAGCTACAGCCTGCTAAGAAGCCTCTCCGCCTTTAGTTTTTTTTTGGTTCGATGTTCGATTCTTTTACTGAGTAATTTTATAAATTCTTGTATTTGCATAACATAAAATATAACAGTATTTATTTAATATTGATAAACACTTGTTTGAATATTTACATCTGAAATGGTATAGGTGGCGGTTTTCACACTAAGTAGTAACTTGACCTTATTTCTTTTATCTGGGTTAATACTCGATATGCTGTCACATTATTTCCTAAGAAACAAAGGTTGGATCTCCCTGTTCTTAGGATTGGATGCATCAGTTCAACATTTCAGATTCTGGTTTAATTGTTTTCAAAAGTTTTATTTAGGGAATAACCCAAAAAAAAATAAATAAATAAATACAATTTACAGTAAAAAGTTATCTTGGTCAGTCTTAATCTTAATCTTAACCTTTAAATGTTATTCAAAGTGAAGCTACATAGAGCCAAAACAGAGACTATAATCTTGTATTGCAATTTTTACAAGTTAAGACCAGACAGCTGCATTTACTGCTGTTACAGAGAGTAAGATATTAACTATTCTATTGAGCTTAAATATAGAGTTATCTAACAATGAACTGTCTCATTATTTCAGCTTAGAAAGTCTTATTCAGAATTAATTGGCACACAGTCTAAACTGCAAAGATCACATATTCAACAAACAATGACCACTAAATATTATATAAAAATACAATAAGTATAATTTGGAAGACAAAAAGAATAAAAGCTCCTCTGTTAGTAATAAATTTTAAGAGTTGTGAACAATTATGTTTCATTTCAGCAGCAAAAATGTATTTGATTTTCATTAAGTCACTATCTAAAAGAAATTGGTCTTATTAAACATTTTATCGATATATTGAAAAAGATTGTGACCATTAGCGGTAAATGTTTATTTCAACTAGTATGTCTGTCTTGAGAAAACCTTCTTATGCTATGAATTTAGATCTGTGCTAATTGATTTTCTGTGAGTTTTCTATGTCAGTGTCGCTCAATGAGCTGTGAGGAGTCAGTGCTCCTCCGTAATGAGCCTGATGAAGTGAATCAATCTTCTGTTTTCTCACTGTGCATTCAATAGTTTGAGTCTGAGCTTCTCAGAAAATAATGAAATATTCCACTGACCATTCACCAATCTGAAGCGAAACGCAGGGAATGGAAGAACAGCACATTAAAGTTGATTTGCTTTAAGTAAACATTTAGGTTTCCATGATAATTACAGAAACACACACGGCTCATTTTGCTACATTTGATCTCACAAATACATGATGTTTCTATACAATGGTTTTACCTAATGAGGAAAATCCTTAAAAATCTAGCTTGAAGTGTCAGTATTGAGCTATTTCAATTCATTTCTTTATCACCGAATCAATGCTCTGCATGTTCTGCAGATATATATCAAAGCCACAAAGCAGAGAGATATTATGAATCACTGCAGACAAAGAAATCCAATTAAATTATACATGGTCTTTAGGCTCTGAATCTGATGATAAACTGGATCTATCACAGTAGATAATACACTTTAACTCACTTGAATACTAATGATGAAACAAAGGCTGGATACTGCATATCTGCATTTTATAACAGAATCTTTATTTTTTTAAAAGTTTTTACTGTATAAATATTGTCAAAACTGTTTTCAAACCCATTTTTGAAAACCAACACAAAATATATCTAGTGCATTCCTTATCTTTGCAGAATGCCTTTGTTAGTTTATTATTTGTAGCTAGTTTCGTGATTTGCCTTTTAATATTTCAGTTTGTTGGTTGAAATATTATAGAGGTTGTGGTTCAAAATGCATTTCACTTTTCTTATTTGTGCCTTTTTTTCCCTCTGTATTTTGGTCTCTGAGGTGTCCTGTTTTGAAGTTGCTGCACGTCCACTAAAAAAAAACTACTACCAGCAGTCATTGAAACTGTATCTCACCAGAGTATTTTAACCCCAAGGTAGCCAATTAATGAGCTCTGTTTCTAAAGAAGCTTTGCTAACAATGAAATTCAAAGTCATGTAACTGACATTCAATATTTCAACGCATGAAATAAATGTGTGTAAAACACAGGCAATTACTACAGTTAATTACACGAATCTGAAATTTGATTAAGCTTCTATGATATGTACATTAATTTAGTAAATTTGAATATGCATTCTGATGATGCTCGTTTGTCAAACGAAGCACCTTTTGAAAATAACTTTTAGCAGGTGTCAAACATGCTTTTTATTCAGCCTGCATTTCTCTATCAAAAGTGATTTTGTCATCTGTAATACCCTGCTTTTAAATGTTGTGTTTTCATTAAAAGCTGTGGGCAGAGAACTCCTCATAATTAAAAGTAATAAAGGCTTGAAAGTGTCAGTGCATGATTAATTTATGTAATGTGCTTCACTTGTGGGATTAAGTCACTGAAAATGGCATGAATGAATGTAATTACTTCAAAATGTATGATTGTAAAATATAATATTACAGGTATAATGGGGGATTTTCGTGAATTTTTGAAAAGACCCGCCCTCTTCACTTTAAAAAGAAATACACATGCACGACCCTGTACCTGCTCCCGAGAGGGATTGCCTACTTAACGCGTGTGAGCGCATGCAGGAGCCCATTTCTCCTCATGCACGCTCTGTTTAAAAGTTGCTGTTTGCATCGCTTATACAAGCTTACTTTCCAAAATAAGATTTGCAATTTTTTCCACTATGTCAGACTCACCACCGGTAAGTGGAAATAGGGACGAGAAATTGGACGGCCGTACGTAAACATATCACCAAAATGATTGACAGTTAGGAGGACCACTTATTTAAAGAACATCTTAAACTAACCCTTCATCCCCTTGTTTCAGTGGTCTTTGTGTCGGAACTGGGGTACACCCTGGACAGAGTATTTTAACAGAAATAAAAACAATTATCATCAATATTTACTAGATTAATAAAAGCAATACCCTAATTTCTCTTTGACAGTTGAATCCCTGCCTGAAAACTTGCTGCGTTTCCCAGCATGCAGTCATTGTGCACAATTTGGAGGAGTGTGCGCCTTTCACCGGCTTTGAGCTCTATAGTAATAACTGTCACTGTTGTAACAGTAACTTAACTCGTGGCATCTTCAGATCATTTTAACAACAGTAAATTTTTTTTTTTAATGTTGGAAATGTGTCAAATATAGCACAATAGAATTTAGAAAGAATATATGAAAACAAATTAAAAAATGATCAAAATTGTAATTTTCCCAAGAAAAATTACAATAAAAATGGTTTAAGAAATTTTTCAATAATCTTATTAGTGCTCGACACATTGGTCAACCAGTTTGCCATTTTATTTTGTCATCATTGGTATATTGTGGAATGAACACTTACTAAAGAACCAGGAGAACATATTTGTTTTAGCAGAAAATGTCTTAACATCATAACTTCCAGTTCCCAGATTTAAAAAAATTATTTAAAAAGGCGCGTTGCAAACTGTAAAAAATATTTAGCCTAAATGTATGCCTGCTGTAGAAGTTGCCATTCAGTCCCATAGGGACTAAGAAGAAGTCCCTTGCTGGAGGAAACCGTGTGTTGTTTTGAGGGTCAGGCACCAGGGGACTGATGTTCAACAGAGGTCACAGCAGACAGCGGGATATAAATATAGGAGGCAGGCTGATCTGGCCTATGACAAGGAAAGGGCGGCTCAGCTGTAATGGGTGATAAATGTCAGAGCCTCCCGACAGCTTCAGATGAGTGATTGTTAAGCAGCTTTCCTGAACCTAAGCGGCTGAAACATTTTCATGGATAGAATGGTGTGTTTGGATGACCCCAGCTTCCTTGGAGTCGCCATAGGCAAAGTGAGAGAGGTAATTAATCAGGTTGTTAGCGTGTCTGATGGAGAGTAGAGGAGCGAGGAGAGGGAAAATCTATAAGTGCTAAAAGAAAAGTGCAAAAGGTAACAAAATGGAGAGAGGAGCTCTGCTGCTGTGATTCATCGAAGGTTGCTGAACCGCTGAGGAGCAATAATTTTTCAAGTTACAGGCCTTGATTGCAATAATGTCCCCATAGCAACTATCATCTTTAATGACTATTATTACTGCTGTCATAAAATGAGACTGGAACCAGTCCTTTGGAAAAAAAAAAAACATGTAACTATCTTTGCTTTCTTTACTCATAAAGAAACCACTTCTTTGTAATACCGTGGAAAAGAATGTGGTAGGATTTTTTTTTTTTTACAATTTTAATTTAGTTATTCAATTAATACCATTTTGTGTGCAATAAAACTTTAAGGTGAGTTTGCAGATTGTTAATTATTTGTCTGTTTTATCTCAAGACAAATATGTCAGTTCAAGGTTTAGTCAATGTTATTATAAAATGTGACTTACGTTTGGAGACTTTCCTGGTAATCTCACTCCCACCTGAACCTGCACACCCATCCTCATCATCACAGTCACCGCTGTAACGCCCTTCTGAATCCCCACTTCCTGCTTCAATCTGGTCCAGGGAGCCAAGTTTAGGGATCGTCTTACCTTGCAGCAACTGAAAGTCAAAAAGCAATGCAACGTTAGAAAAAATAGCTAAAAAGAAACATTTTCTATTTTTTAGCTAAAGTACTGATGATTTTGCGTTTTACAGCGCTTATATCTTATGAAAGGAATTTGTGTATCAAATGGAAATTTGCATCACAGTACACTAGAGAATGTTATCTAATGGCAAAGACAGTTTAAAATACTCAAATTTAAGAGAAACTCACCTTTTTGTTATTTATTTATAAAATAAAACACATTAATACATTTTTCCCAGAACCCCATGGTTTAAAATCAAATGCAAACTAAACCTTTTATTTTCTAAAAGTATATCCATAGATTTTTATGTGCAACAAACAAAAGTTAAGACTTAAAAACAATAGACTTGGGATGAACGTAAAATAATTCTAACCAATACACTCACTAACACAAGTATAAATGAACCCACAGCATGACGCTCATTGTTATTGGTCCCTATGGCCCACAGGGCAGCTCCACTTCTTATTGTACTGCTGTGCTGCAGAATCTCAATCAAAGACTAGGTTAGCTTCACACACACTAATTGGCTCATTTTAATTCTTGTTGTATGATTGGGAACAAGACAGAATGCCCTGTGTTGATCAGAAAAGTAAGAACTGTGGCAATTAGTTACCGTTGAAGCTTACAATTGGCAGACAAGGGACAGAGGCTATGTTGCTTTCCAAGGCTCAGATGGAACGTATATAAGACTGCGTAGAGTCTCCACAGCTAAATGGTAACATGTTAGATGATGGACAGATTTGGACTCTCAGGCCATTTCTGTTACTGTGGCTTCTATGAAATTTCTTTTCACGCAATGGTAAAAATAGATCAAAATGTTGAATGTACCATGGAGAAAACTTTCTGTCTGCAGTTTCCAGGCTTTGGACTGGGCTTTCTTTATAATATAAAATAATACATAAGGGGAGTTTTAAGGTTTACAGATTCCTTTTTATTTTTTTATTCATTTTTCCACATAAAAAACTGTGTGCAACACCTGTTTATAAATAAGGAGCAGTGTTATTTCTCACATTCACAAATATAAGTGTAAATAAAATATCATCGTCCTCTGAAGAAAATAGAGGGAGAACACGGCTCACTGGAGAGCTGCCTTAACATCAGATCAGGCTCTTGTAAAAATGTGATAGTATGAACCAGTTTTATCAATTTTACGACCAAATGCAGTTTTTTCTAAAACATAATTCTAAATTAGAACAAATTGTCTAAAGATCTCATTAAAAAAAGGTATTTTGCCCACTTAGTTAACTTATAATGTAGCCAGCTGAAATATAAAAGTTCAACCATACTCTGACTTTAGAAACCTTGCTGTTATAACCGATCAAAATCAGAATAATTAAAACTTAAACAATGCTTGCACATAAAATCTTCTGCTCATCATTCATTTTGTGAAAGCTGATTTTAAACGTAGATCAAAGACTGCGTTTAATGTGAATTGGGGATTAGGGACTAAAAATGTAAAGAAAAACCAACATCATTAGTCATCAGGCTTCTTCTTTTCTTTTTTTAAGCTTGGCAGCAGAAAAATTAGATCACAGGAAACATGCTTCTGAATCAGCACTTAGGGAAAAGTGGGTGACAATGGTAGCAGGTTTGGATGCTGTTTTTAGTTCATCATCAGCCTTATAAACACTCTGCTCGCCTATACACACTGGATGAACCTGAAATTTAGTATCTGCATTTAAAATGCTATCCAGGGGAGAAAACTAGGTACAGCATGTTCACCAACTTAAAAAAAAACAGTCCTTCGAGTGAAACACTTTTCTTTAACAAGTACAAGAAAGATGGTCAGAGTTGATAGAAATGCACAAATGCAGATATATCAAAAAAAAAAAAAAAACATTGGGATAGAAGTTTACTTTCCACCAGAGAGACGGCCCTAAACTTGCAACCAGAGCTACAATGCGCCAAATCAAAGCCTACATTGATGTAACTGTAGACTGGCCTGGTAAAAGTGCAGATTCTTGATGCAGATTTTCAGAGAAAATCATCAAGAGTTAAAGGAAATGTTACCAGGATATAATCTTACTGGGGTTTAGCTATTTTTCAAAAAGGAATTAGAGCAATTTTAATCTGTTCCTCAAAAACCGTTGAAGCTATTATCAAACAGAAGCTAACTGATCATTGTTTCGTCATAGGGTGGCTAGACACAGGTTTAGGACACAATTTATAACTTAATAAATGTCTTTGTGTAGTTTACAACTGAAAATTCTGAGCTGATTTCAAAACCAAACCAAAGGAATTAATTCTGATTCACAGCCTTTTTCTCAGATAAAGTCTGTGAAAAGACATGAAGTAAGCAGTTTCATACAACTAGTTCATTAACACCTGTTTGATCTTTCTCTGAGAAAAAAATCATTACATTTTTATTTTAATAAAAATACGCTTTAAAGTCAGATACACAGCAAAGACTGTTAAGAAATGTTATTGCACCCCCTTTAAAAGCAAAATGAGAAATTCTAATTTTAAATATTCCAACAAATAAAATACCCCCTTAATTAAAGATAAAACATGTATATACTGTTCTTTTTGACATATATAAGAAATAGGTTTTGTAATATAGGATAAACTTAACATCTCAAACAGAAACATAGACGTAGATTTATTTAAGAGGCTCATCACGTCACATCAAAATACTTACACTGACTCCTACTGTATAACCTGCTGAGTCTCTTTTTAAAGGGAGAATTGAAAATATGTGCTCAAAATATGTCTTCCCTAACAATATAAATAAAAGGCAACTATAAAATTGAGTTCCTCAGTTACGGAAAAAATAAAAGTAAATTAGAAAATCATTCTTAGGTTGATGGTTCAAAAAATTGTTGCTTATGAATAGGGCTATTTGAAAGCATTAGAGCACAACTCCAGACCTAAGCAGAGCAGAGCAGAAGCCAAAAAGTATTGAGAGACAAACAATTATTTGTTTTTAGTCGTTTTGCAGTATTACCTAGCAGTAAAAAGACAGGTTAAACTACAGATCCCTGTTTGACCAGCTATGTTTATTTAATAAGACTGCTTTATAGGAATTTTAAATACAGTGGGAAAAGAGAATTAAGTAAAACTTTAGTCTGAATTCACCTCATAAACAAGAATTTGTTTTTTTCTAATTACATCCTTCTGTTTTGGTAATTCTCAGTAAATCCTGAGGTACAGAGGTGTATTGACAGGATGTTTTGACATATACTCTGCGGCTTTGTTTTTGTTTTATTCTCGTCAGCAGATTACGTTTCTTGTGCCAAGGAGAAGTGAATAATTAAACAAGTCTTAGAAATATTTCACAGCCAAGTTCTGATTAACACTGTCCTATCGTTTTGATTTCTTTGCTTTTTTTTGGCAGAGGAAGTATCTGTTCAGTGTTCAGATTGAGCAGCCGCATTGTTCTCACTGACACACGATGAAGCGAGCCTGTATTTCCTAACTGTGTTATTAGCCTCATCTCTTTGAATGACACAAGGTCATGTGTAACACTGGCCTTGAGACAGGTGCTTTGATTTGTTCTGACTCCACACAGCCCCCACCTCCCTCAGCTAGCCTCTGGCTGTTATTGCACTGTGTAGAGAGTACATAATGACCAAATAAACCAATTACTCTGTTCACAAAAATAGCCACACATGTGCAGATAAACTGCACTGCTTCACACTCAGTATGATCCTCTGCTAATGGGGAATTTTCTTTTCTTTTGAAATAATTTAGAGCTAACATGACTAGACATAATGATAAAAAAATGTTTCTGCAAAATCTTTTCAGTGGTACTCTTTGAGAGTGGAACATTAGAGACAGTATAATAGATGTCAATGAGTTTACTTAATAACTGCCCTCTAGCCGGCAGCAATGACACCGACAGCTTTTTGAAAAATACGCAGGGATTTCTTCTGTAAATTAAGCCATCAAATAATGTTCTGAGATTTTTTTAAGGTTACACAGCAAGCTTGAAAAATAAATGATTGACAGAGCATTCTCTTCACAAATAACACCTTCATTAGTTTATTCTTTTCATCATTCACTACACTGTATATTCTGATTTATTTGAAACATATATAATTTAAGATTACAGTGTTACATAAAGTCCATTACATGAAGAAGAACTATATTTGAGGGTTTTAACGTACAGCCGAATTAAGTTCATACAGAAACCATTATTACTTTCAAAGGTGAGATTTAAGCAACTCTTATCACATAGTGTGGTTCTGACTTTGATAAGAGGCAAAGTTGCAGTGGGACCAATTTACCTGTCAAGAAAAATGCTAAGAAAAGGCTCCATGACTGCATGTACAAGTAGAGAAACTCCTCTCTGTAATTTATAGACCTCAGAAGAAATAACGTTCTGCCACAGTAGAAAAATACAAAGTCTTGTAAGTTGTCACTTGAAACTGACGGCACATGTTTAGTGCAAACATAGATTATGTACAACACATTACAGGTTGTTTTTATTTATTTCTTTTTTTCATTCCTGCTGTTTGGTTTGGCTACAATAAAATACAATTCAAGTGAACAATTCAAACTAAGGATGCACAAACTAATCCAAGAACCAAAATTATGTCAAATTAGGTTCTTATCTGTTGTATTGTCTATCAACTGTTACCTTAATTAGCTCTCATGTTTAAGGGGGCTCAGACTCCTATAAAGTGGACCTCTGGGTCATATGACTCATTAAGCGATAGATACAAATCTCTGAAGCTGCATAGGTAGGTTTTGAAGAGGGCAGTCTGCACAGGGCAGTGATACATACACCAAGTGCTGCCGACCTGTTAAATCATTTCATTTATCTTGAATTAAGCTAATACGTGTCACGTCTTCTTGAAAACTTAATGTCCAGTTACCTAAACTTAAATTTTTCAAGCTTGACTATGACCTGGATGGCTGAGAATATTAACAGGTACTGTATGTTACTAATCTGATAGACATCCTTTATCTGGTGCAGGAGTATGAGAGAATTTCCAGGTCTACAGAAACCACCTGCATTTCAAACTAAGATGC